GGTTGCTCAAAGCCCCACCCAACCTGGTCTTGAACACTTCCAGGGAGGGGGCAGCCACAACTTCCCTGGGCAACCTGGGCCAGTGTCTGATTACTAATTGGTGCCTGGCAATGCTAGACTTGTGCTTAGTTTTCAGTGGTCACCCCATCATTATGTGTGGTTCCAGATGAAGTTTTGCATGGAAGAGGCAAAAGAGAGAAGATCTGTACTACCCACTGTAACTGCTGGCAGCTGAAGGGTTAACTATAGTTGGACAATTTGAAAAAGCAGTAGCATTTTACAGTATTTCTGGTCACACCCAGCAATATCCACTCCCCATTATCAGCAGCCTCACAGCTTCCCCATTCTCTCTCTGAATTATTAGAGACAATTAGCAAGAATCCACATTTTGACTGATCTTTCTAATTGGGAGCACTGAACAAACAGATCTGAGAAACAGCCTGGCAGCAGCAAGCAGCCTTGGTTCCCTGCACTCAGGGAAAAGCTCTGCTCCCCCAGGGATAGATAACGTGAAAGCTACAACCAGTGACTCAGCGTTGGCCCACTTGCTCTCCAAGGAATCAGATAAGCCATCCAAGCATCCCTGCCTATTTCTGCACATGGAGGGCAGATCAGATAACAAAAAGTACTCCTTGAAACAATTGCCTGCCTTGGATAAATACAGACTTCCCATCAACTAACAAGAAAAACAGCACTGTCAAGCTTTGTCTTCTGATCTGCATGTATGAACACATCCACGGTGAAGCCCATAATGAAATGTGGTTTTATGTGTAATAGCTGTGCTCTGTGCCACATGCACATGGCATTTCATTAAGCACAGGCTAATAGCTTGATTCCCTTAGGGACCCACTGCTGGAAAATGGAACATCTCCTTTCATAAACAGGCAAGGTCACCATGCACCACACACTCCTCAATGCACATGCTTATTTTGTTTTTGATGCTGACACTATTGAGTATCTGTTAATTAGTATCTGTTCATTATACATTTCATATTAATGCAATAATACATCTGCATGTAAAATAATTTTATGAGATCTGAGGAAAACCAGCATTACATTACATTACATTTCAGTGCCATCTGTTCAGATACTCCAGAAGATGGTGGAAGAACTCTGATTCATGCCTAAATTACTTTTTATATTTCACTCTTCATGTTGGAGTCAGATTTTGAAAAATTCTATGCAATAAACATCTGAAAAGCACAAACTAAGATATTTTGCCCCCTCACACTGCATCACCCTTTTGTAACTTACAGTTACACTTTCTTATTTATCAGGACCATTTTCCAGCATATCCACTTTTACACACTCTGAAAGAAGCAGTACACAAATGTGACAACACAAAGTTTAAAGCCCTGTAGTTTAAACTTAAAGTTTAAAGCACAAAAATGTCACAGAAATATATGAAGAGAGATAAAAAAGGATAGGCAATATATTTTAAAATACTGTTAAGTACTTCCAAAAGATCAGGAGTCCCCAGAGGACCCTACCTGAAGAACCCAAGCATCATGCAGTGCCACTAATTCCTGCCAGTCTACTTCTCTACTTCTCTGCTCTCAACTTATTTCATCCCAAATACAATTTTTATTTTAGAACACTTGGAATATTTAGATATTTAAAATATTTAGAAGTTGGCAACCTGTTTATCTCTATTCCTCTGGTTCCTGGGAAATTTCCCTTCTGGATGTGAAAATGAGAAATTCCAGAGGATAATACTGGGTTGAGGCATATGGCAAAAGTAGAAAGAGCTACTTTTAAAGTGAACATGTGATCTGTCAGTAGAGAAGATTACACAGGGTAGAATGTGAAGGTAGACATGAAGTATTTTCTCCTAAAACCAGATACAAATACTGTATTGCAGTAAATCCAACAGTTTGTGGGAAAAGAATAAATACGTAGTACAGATTAGAAACCATATTATCTACATGTAAGGAAGAGAAGGAATTTTATTCTGAACTTTCCTGTTCATACTCCCATATATACATTCCTTATCAGCAATTATGATCAGGAATGTCAAATGCAAATGTGACCTGAAGACTTGGAATAAGCTTTTACTGCACTTGGTTATATAGCTCAGGAGTTTCCTGAAGTGGAGAATGCAAACCACAACTGTAAATGAATGTGTAGTCTCTGGATTGTGAATGACTATGTGGCTTAAAGACATAGAGCAAACCTAACTGGAAACAATCCACAAAAATGTTAAGAATGTTTCTTGTCCTCTTCATCTGACATGGAATTGTTACTGGAATTAAGAGGGAAAAACAAACAAACCAAAACCAAAGGCTGTCAACATTTTAATGAGTTGTGAGCACACCCCTGGAGTTTTTTTTCTTTTCAAGGCTGCAGCCTTGCCTCCTCCTTTTGTTCATCTGGAACAGGTTGAAGCAGGCTGTCAAACGTTCAAGGACAGGTTTTCAAGTCCTGTTTGCTGCTGGCATGTCTGAAACTGCTGACACGTTAGCAAAAAAAAGGTACACTTAGTGCAGCAGCTGCAACAGTAAAACACCTAGAACTAATGGCAACACTGAATGGTGCTGGCCAACTGAAGAGGTAAGTCAGTAAATATTCATACAGAAAATGCAAGCAAAGCTTATGTAAGTCCTCAAAAATAGTTTGATTTACCATGCAAACACACCACATTTGGGATTTTGTTGTTCGATATGAAAACCATTACCCACAGTCTTCAGTGATGAAAGCTGTAGAAACAGCTGAAAAATGTTAACTGAACATTAACAAACAACTGAGCACTTGACAGACTTGCTAAAAGTAACCAATGTGATGGTTTCCTTTCATATCACTTACAATTTTCTGGAACAGGAGAAGAACCTACCCTCTGTTGAAAACACAGCAAAAAAAATCAAACTCTATTGCCTGAGTACTTAAGATTTGCCAGCTTGATGCCTCAAAATATCAGGAGGAAAGATGCCTTCTCCCAGATCCACTTGGTAAGGAAGTTACCCACAGCCCTATTTTACCTCTAACTCAGTAGGACTAGGAGGAGTACTTTTCCAGCCAAGCCTTGTTCAGTGTTTTAGACCAGAACTCTAAAAATACGTTGACCCTTCTTGGATTAATTCCCAGTAATTCCTTACCTACTAGGGCCAGATCTGTTCCCTCCCCTCATTTCACATCGGCTACATCCAAATTCACACCAGCAGCAGCAAACATTAGCTTGAACTCTGGCACTTACTGTAGCTGGAGGAGTCTGAGCAAGTTCATGAGCTCACCACTGGCCTGAATTCCTGAGGACCCTGAAGCCCCCAGGCCAAGCCCACTCGAGATAACCCATCCAACAGGCTCTCCTTATGAATCTTTACATTCAATGCAGCAAAGGGCTTTTGACACTAGAGATCCGATTTTCATCACCAAAACAAGCCATGGGGCTGGAGGTCATAGAGGCCTGTTCTCAAACTCACAGGACTGTCTTGGCCTTTGTGCAATTTTTAAAAGCACCATTTTCAAATGGAACAGTATTTTATCAGTTTGTAAGTGAGGTTAAACTGGAGCTGATATCAGAAGATGGCAGATGACCTGCTGTACTGAAACAAAACACAGCTCACTATAACTGGCCACTAGAACTTGTTTTGAAATGAGCTGAACTCCCCAGTAAGGGCAAGGACTGGAGTGTGATAGGCTCTCCATTTTATTTCTGAATGTTTGAACTTTCTGTTTTGAAAGTGGGGGGTGGAACAGAGTTAATTAATGAGAGCAAAATGCTGTTATTCCTAAAAAAAGGAAATTTGAAAAAAATATTTTTCAATGAACAGGAATGCAGAAATGAAGAATTGCATCCCTACAGCACAAAATCATGCATCACCTCTCAAAATGAGACAGATCGAAGCTCATCCACGTACAATATTCTTGTTTGTTTGTTTGTTTCAGACACAACAAAAACCTACTACACTTATAGTAGAAGATAGTATTTTGTTCTTCATGAATTAAGTACAACGTAAGTCCTCTGCTGCACTCAGCGAAATGGATTTCAGATTAGAAAAAAATAAAGAAACTTACCTTGCATTTCAACATGTTGGCCACTCTCTCTTGCATTGATTGTCCAGCCTTTGGCCTGACAAGTATATAAACTGCTTTTACATCAGGGCTGGAGCGCAGAAGCTTTTCCACCAGTACTTTGCCCATGAAACCTGTAGCTCCTGTGATAAGTACGGTCTTTCCGTTGTAATAAGCTGAGACTGAAGACATGGTGCTCTCTTATTCTGTTCTTCCTTCCTGCAGGAGGTACCTGAGAAGATGCAGAAATAAAGTTTCAAAGGCTTTTCAGTCAAGACATGGATCAGTTCTTTGGGAATGACAGCCTGAGATGACCTTTGCCAGTCAGCTGTGGCAGCTGGCATCAGGTCAATCAACAGCAATTTTAAAGATGGTTTTTCAAAAAGCTTTTATTATGAAAATAAATCACAAAAATGAAAAAAAGGTTGATCTGGGAAGCTAAAAAACCAAGCTCAGTCGTATCCTCCATATTATACCATAGCTGCACCCAGCAATCCCACGTCAGAACGCAGCTTGTGCTGCCCAGGACCCCTACCAGTACGTGCTCACTGCAGTGCTGAATGCCATTTATCTCACATGCTGTGAAGTGACAGCCATGAAGATACACAGCTATCCCTACAAGACAAGGTGGAAACAGATCTCCTCACAAGCACTGCAGGTACAAATAAAATTTCCCACTTGAATTCCACTTGGCAGTTCCTTTTCTTGCCATCCCTCACTCTGCAAAGGGCTCAGCTTTCTCCCATTGTCTTGGCTTGGAATAAATCCATGAAAGAAACACCCTCCTCTTCATGTAAAACACAGTGCAGTGACATTGTTCTGCAAGACTGCAATGCCATTCTCCTGTGCATCAGTCATCACCCATTGTTGGCTGTTAAGGCAAAACCACATCCCACTGAACTCTAAAGAGTTTAGATGTCATAGGCTTTCTCTGGAGAATTTAGGTTGTTTGAGCTGCCCTTTGGAGATCCATTGACTAGAGAAAAGGACTGACAGGACTAGGCTCCCACATGAAGTGTCCCAGTTAATTACCTTAATTAGATACAATGGTTTCAGGCCTACATGTCCCAGTCATCCCAATTAAAACTCTAGGTTGTTAAATGACAAACATGGTGGGACTGAATCTTCCTAGAATAGCTCCCCTCTCTCCTAGACTAACTGAAGGAAAAAACCTCTCCCATCTTTGAAGAGCTGCAGATCACAACATGCACAAACCTCTTCCACTGCAAGCAAAAAGCCTGTGAGAAAAATACATAAATATTTTTTTAAAGCCTCCTAAATTTGAAACAAAACCAAACAAGAACAGTAGAACACTGTCAATCAAGTGTTCAAGAATGAGGACAACGATCTTCAGATCTTCAGACACCTCAGGAAATCTTTCTCCTGCAGAAGCTGCAGAGTCTCTGCTGGACACTTCAAGTTTCTCAACATTACATGAGTTACCTGCATGCTAATAAATGCAAATATGCCAAAACAGAAATACAGCATTTGCTGCATTTTTGCAGTCTACAAAGATTCCCCATTCTCATTCATCCTTTTGCATTTCTGAAACCTATTAAGCCATTCAGGGTCAGTGAAATAGCCTAACTTAGAGAAAAAAACTGCACGTTTTCATACAGAAACACCCTATATAATGAGTTCTTGGCTTGGACCACCACAAATGAGCACCAGTTTATAAGTACTGCAAGAACCTTTGCTATATGTGATGGTAGGTTAAATTGTCTTCACTGCATGGGACCACAAGAGAAATAAAGCTTGTCCTACAGGCCATACCTTCCTCAGGATGAAGAAAAGTGACCTCTGCTACATTAATACAGAGAAGCACCACAGCTCCATCCTTACAAGGTGTACTGTGTCCACTGCAACACTCAGAGATGTGGTCAGTGGGACTTGGATCCCCAACAGTAAAAAGCAATCTGATGTATCCACCCAGACCTGACTTTGCACTCCTGCCAACCTGTCAGTTTTCACAATCACTGTATTGCTACATGGAAACATTGAATGCCTATTTCTAACAGGCTCTAGCCTGGACAAATAATCTAGGGACTCAAGCCAAAGAAAATATTGCTCTTCTTTCCCAGGGCTGCCTTGGGACTGCTAACAAATGAAAATCCCTAAATTAATTTATCCATCAAGAACCATCAGGTGTGCCATCCAATTTAGTAAGTGGATCAAGCAGAAACAATTCTGAAGGACACTACTTTACAAATTAATAGCTCCGTGAATTTGGGTATTAGCCTACTTTCAGATATGGCCTAGATCACATCCTAAATGAATGCAGCAGGCTCATGCCTAGGCCTATTAAAAATCTGGTCCTATCAAAGAGCTGGCCACTCGGGAAGTGAAATAAACAGGTTACACTATTAGAAAATGAACTTATGTATAATAAAATGTCACATCTCGTTCAGGTTTGGGAAAACTGAGTGACACTGGAAGAGAGGCACTTCCAGAACCTGTTGTGAAAGTCCAAAAGGAGATATTAGTTTAGCCAGATGAAGACAGAGGTGATGAAAAACTTTAGAAATTTGGTACAACACGTGCACTGCAAAGCAGAAAAATTAAGGAGAAATCCTTACTCACAAGAGGCACATAAATTCCACCCACTGAACATAGGAAACTAAAATATGGAATATAATACCACCTCCTGTCACTGGATACTTGCTTTGAACTCCTATTCAGAAGATCTATCCACCTAACCTCCTTTCATATTCTGCTAGAAAAATGGTACATTTGTAAGTACTTTGCACCACAGACCTGGAGATTACCACAGTGTTAAACAGGAATCACTCTGCTTCCCATACTTCAGTAGCACAGAACATTTCCAGCCTGAATCACTTAATGTTGGTGCTTTGTGTCATAGTTGTAGACTACTGAAAAAATAACTGTTAAGATTTCAGAATGAGGACATCAATTTATTAAGTGATTTCATTTGTGTTCTCTGTTTGATTTCTCTAAATGGGGCTTCATTTGTTCAATGCCTACTAGAAGAGTTTAAAAAAAAAATAAATAAAATTTTAAAATCACACTACTTTGAAGCATCCTAAAATTAGCCCTGCAGCCACATGTCACTAAGTATTTCTGGCAAGGATTACACACACATAACTGACAGTTTTTCCCCATGTTGTCTGAGGTAATTTTAAATATTTGTCTCAAAAAAGTCACCAAAAAACTGCATCTCCCAAACCATCCTGGTATAACGACAACGGAAGCTCCAAACACAGGCACAGAAAAACAGAACTTCTATGGCAATCTGGTGTCCCTCTGGATTACTGCCTTCACCCCATAGGGTTAAAAGAAAAAGTAAGGAAAACCATATCCCTTCTGTTTTCTGTAATAAAGAGGCCTAAGCCAGGATGCATAGTTTGCAGGGGCAGCTTCAGAGCTGGTTCCAGTTGCTCAGGACCTCGTCCACAATAAAAAGCCATGAGGAATGAGAAACTTTTTGCTTATTACAGGATCAGATTTGTGCCTCCTTGCAGTAATATTTTTTTTTCCCCTTTCCTCAGTTAGCTTTAGAAGAAAATGCAATCACCATGCACTCAGCTGATGCCACACTCATTATCAGCAAAGAAAATCTGTGTATTTGTTTAATGTGCACAAACAAATGGTTGTTTTGAGATCATGACACAAAACCCACAGTACTGCAATCTGTGTTCAGACAGATCACTGAATCTTCAATATCCAAGCAAATTTAAAGAGGCTTTTATTAGGCTCCAAATTTAAAAACAGATTCCAATTTATATTCAGGGTTGCTAAAACACTGTAGTTTCCACTTAGGGAAGTCTGACTTTTTTTTTTTTTTAATTTTCAGAACCATCTTTGTTTCTTGTATTTTTAAGAGTGTGATTTTATACTACAATTTATTCTTCTTTGCTTTAATTGATTTTGCCTGGCCTTTGTAAAGAAAGTACTGGATAAGTTACAGAGATTTTAAGGAACTAGAGGATTTCTAAGGTCAAAAGGTGTGATCCAAGTCATGCCTGCTGACCTGACACTTTGGATGTCTACTAAAGACAAAGGATTACATTCATTCCTTTTTGACTTTTTACACTTGTTCAAAAGAAGAAAAAAAAATAAAAATTGTTTCCTGCAGAAGTTTATGCTTTGCTTTTCATTTTAAGGAATAAACAGTCAATACTGGACATTAACTATTCCCAGTCAAGTAAACTGCAAAGGATTAAACCTCTGGTAAGAGAAAACTAAATTTTAAGTCTGAACCACTGTCAGCAGTTGCAGTGAGTTGACCCTTATTGAGGTGAAGAGGGATAAAGACTATTTCAGAGCTTGAGGTTCCTGTCTCTTTCAGAACTGACTGGAGATGAGTAAGCCCCTGAGTGTTGGGGGGGGGGAAAGCCCACACATGAAGCTCAGCTCAAGTGAACAATTAGAGACAACTCTGACCATTCAGGCACTAATCAGAGCAGGAAATTGATGACTGCTGCCATGTGAACTACTGAACACAGCATCTTTGCAGCACTACACATCTCACTGATGCTGACTCATCTCCAACTGTACTGTGGAAAATCATCTTTTGGACAGCCAGCCAGGAACCACACTGAGCATCTCTGCAGACACAAGTACATGAACTGCTTTAAGGGTAAAGGTCTGCTGCTGATGCCTGTAACAGTCTCCTCTGGATCAGTCACAATGGACAACCTACAGCACTGTGTTACCAATAAAGCCATGGTCTTGTGCCAGAGGCACAGGCCAAAGGACAAGGAAAGGTGGCAATCCTACCAACATAATGCCTTGCTCCCACAAAAGAAAATCCTCATATCCCAAAGAGAAGACTGAAAGAGAGCTTTCCCCTACCGAGAGCAGATACAATTGAGCTGATATTTAACAAAACAACTGGTGCATTGTCCCACTCTTCCACATATTTGAATGATGCCAAATACGCATTCAGATTCCAGTGCTGCAATGCTGAGAATCAGAATCATAGAATGCTTTGGGTGGGAAGGAACCTTAAAGATCATTGAATTCCAACCCCCTGCATTGGTAGGGACACCTCCCACTAGATTAGGTTGCTCAGAACCCCATCCAACCTCACCTTGAACACCTCCAGGGAGGGGGGATCCACAGCCTTGCTGGGCAACCTGTGCCAGTTTCACTCCTCTCACATTAAAGAATTCCTTCCTAACACCAAACCTAAATCTATCCTCTTTCAATTTGAAACCATTCTCCCTCATCCT